CCTCCTCGTGTCACAGCAGAGCATATCACTTGTCATGTAGTGTCTACTGCTGGCGTCGCAACGTGACACATAATGTCTATGCTGTTTATGTCACACTATCTCATTGCTGGATAATTTGTTTGACCATGTTCGCATTCCTGCACGAGTCACGACATCATATAACTGCTGCTCATGTCAAAGCATGCAAGGTCTATTGGCGGCGTCACAACATGAGGCGACACTGCTGCCATATCAAAGCATAATGTCACTGTTGTTTCCTTTGTTTTTTCTATTTCAACAACGTATAGCTGCTGCTGGTGTCACAGCATCATATAGCTGCTGCTGGTGTCACAGCATCATATAGCTGCTGCTCATGTCACAGCATCATATAGCTGCTGCTCATGTCACAGCATCATATAGCTGCTGCTCATGTCACAGCATCATATAGCTGCTGCTGGTGTCACAGCATCATATAGCTGCTGCTCATGTCACAGCATCATATAGCTGCTGCTCATGTCACAGCATCATATAGCTGCTGCTGATGTTACAGCATCATATAGCTGCTGCTGGTGTCACAGCATCATATAGCTGCTGCTGGTGTCACAGCATCATATAGCTGCTGCTGGTGTCACAGCATCATATAGCTGCTGCTCATGTCACAGCATCATATAGCTGCTGCTCATGTCACAGCAGCATATAGCTGCTGCTCATGTCACAGCATCATATAGCTGCTGCCGTTGTCACGGCATCATATAGCTGCTGCTGGTGTCACAGCATCATATAGCTGCTGCTGGTGTCACAGCATCATATAGCTGCTGCTCATGTCACAGCATCATATAGCTGCTGCTCATGTCACAGCATCATATAGCTGCTGCTCATGTCACAGCATCATATAGCTGCTGCTGGTGTCACAGCATCATATAGCTGCTGCTCATGTCACAGCATCATATAGCTGCTGCTCATGTCACAGCATCATATAGCTGCTGCTCATGTCACAGCATCATATAGCTGCTGCTGGTGTCACAGCATCATATAGCTGCTGCTGGTGTCACAGCATCATATAGCTGCTGCTCATGTCACAGCATCATATAGCTGCTGCTCATGTCACAGCAGGAGACTGCTGCTGGTGTCACATGATGTAGGTTATTCTGCTTGGGTCATAGCATGAGGCTACACTGTTCACGTCACAACATATGTCTCTTCTGCTTATGCCACAACATCGGATTACTGCTCTAGGCTCTCTCCTGCTCATGTCACAGCATCACACCACTGCTGTCCATGTCACATTACGTGCTCACTGCTGCTCGTGTCGTCACCATGTGCTCCTTGCTGCTTTTGTCACAGCTCGTGGTTCTGCCATTGATGTCTCAGCAATAGCATGCAGATGCTCGTTTCAAAGTGTGTGCCCACTTCTTCTCTGTATCCCGCTGTTGCCCATAATGACATTGCCTCCCATCATGGTGGTGCAGTTTGCTACTCATGGCTCCAGCGACAAGTGCAGGGTTACATGCGGCAACGCAAGCATGCAAAGATGCAACGACGGGAAGCGTGAACATGCGACCGTTACTGTGCGTGTTACGCATGGGGTTGTCTGCCTTGTTTGCTGGCGAGAGGGGGGCGACGCCCGACGACGTGATACACTTCTTAGCGGAGGCAGCACCTGAGGCTACGTCACGGCTCATCAGGGCTGGCCTAGCCGCCGGTGAGTTGGGTTATTGATGGAATGTCACATGCATGCGAGGAACTAGCGCACAGTTAGAGGCTTATGAAGTGTCTGCAGTTGGGGTCTTGAAAAGTGTGGGCGCATTCTTTGCGCACGCGCCTTGGTCCACGCGCGCGCCTTGGTCCGCGCGCCCTGGTCCACACGCGCGCCCTGGTGCGCGCGCGCGCCCCTGTGTTGACGCCTGCCCTGCATTTTCTGCCTTACCTCCCACTCCCCATCCCCACCCCCCACTTTCTCCCAACCTCCACACCCCCCCTCCAGCGACCCACCATAGCTCTGGTGATGGGACCAGCGGGCCTCATCAGCCGCCTGCTCGACTCCAGGCCTGCGTTGCCTGCCCCGCTCTCCCTCTCTTCCAACTCTCCTCCCCCCAGTGCCCCACGATAACGCTGGTGATGGGTCCCAAGGGCCTGATCAGCCGTCTCTTCGCGCTTAATCTTAACAACGCCTGCCTTGCAATTCTTCTCGTACTCCCTCTTTCCCCCCCCCAACCCCCACTCCCGTGACCCTCACACATTCCCTCACCTAAGCACCCGACCATAGCGCTGGTCATAGGACCCAAGGGCCTCGTTAGCCGTCTCCTCGCACCCATATTCGACCATCCTGTATTCTGAAATCTGCCTTACTCTACCCTCCCCCCTTCCCCCCTTCCCCCCTTCCCCCCAACGCTGCACGATAGCGCTGGTCATGGGGCCCAAGGGCCTCATCACCACCAAATGTGATGACTCCGGTTCTGCATTGTCGGCTCGGCTCGCACCCAAATTCAATGACGTCTGTCCTGCCCCCCCATTCACCCCAGCGCCCCACCATAGCGTTGGTCAAGGGTCTCAAGGGTCTCAGCAGCCGCCTCCTCACACCCAGATTCACTGACATCCATCCTGCATTGTCTGTCTTATTCCCACCTCGCCACACTCCCCACCCCTCATCCCTGCCCCCCCCATTCACCCCAGCGCTCCACCATAGCGTTGGTCAAGGGTCTCAAGGGTCTCAACAGCCGCCTCCTCACAACCAAATTCAATGACGTCCGTCCTGCATTGTTTGTCTTATTCCCACCCCGCCACGCTCCCCATCCCTCATCCCTGTCCCCCCCATTCACCCCAGCGCCCCACCATAGCGTTGGTCAAGGGTCTCAAGGGTCTCAACAGCCCGGTTCCTCACACGCAAATTCAATGACGTCCGTCCTGCATTGTCTGTCTTATTCCCACATCGCCACACTCCCCATCCCTCATCCCTGCCCCCCCATTCACCCCAGCGCCCCACCATAGCGTTGGTCATGGGTCTCAAGGGTCTCCACAGCCGCTGATATGGCACCCAAATTCAATGACGTCCGTCCTGCATTGTTTGTCTTATTCCCACCCCGCCACGCTCCCCATCCCTCATCCATGTCCACCCCATTCACCCCAGCGCCCCACCATAGCGTTGGTCAAGGGTCTCAAGGGTCTCAACAGCCGCCTCCTCACACCCAAATTCAATGACGTCCGTCCTGCATTGTCTGTCTTATTCCCACCTCGCCACACTCCCCATCCCTCATCCCTGCCCCCCCCATTCACCCCAGCGCCCCACCATAGCGTTGGTCATGGGTCTCAAGGGTCTCAACAGCCGTCTCCTCGCACCCAAATTCAATGACGTCTGTCCTGCATTGTTTGTCTTATTCCCACCTCGCCACGCTCCCCATCCCTCATCGCTGCCTCCCCATTCACCCCAGCACCCCACCATAGCGCTGGTCATGGGTCTCAAGGGTCTCAACAGCCGCCTCCTCGCACCCAAATTCAATGACGTCTGTCCTGCATTGTTTGTCTTATTCCCACCTCGCCACACTCCCCATCCCTCATCGCTGCCCCCCCCATTCACCCCAGCACCCCACCATAGCGCTGGTCAGGGGGCCCAAGGGCCTCATCAGCCGTCTCCTCGCACCCACAATTTATGACGTTTATTTCAAATTCTGCCTTCACTCTCAACTCCCATCCCTCACAGATGCTGAGTCTGGACGCTCACAGACGGGCGCCACGGTCGAGTTGCACCGCCAAGAGTACCATCGCATTTTCAAGGCCCACGCTCAAGTGCCCTTCGAGAAGGTCACTGATTTATTACAACGGCCGGATCGGGAGCTGCTTGGTGTGAGATATGCCTTTCCGCTTATGCGGTTAGATGATCGCGGGAGACCAAGGTGTGTGGAGGGCTTGTCTTGGGGAGGAGCAAGACGCGGGAAGGCATTTGCTCTACAACGCCAAGGAGGTAATGCCTTTCAAACATGCTACATAGCCGAACACGGGTGATGCTATCTCATGATGACGTGTCGCCCCAACGCCCACAACCACTTATCATACCACTATTGCTGAAGTGCAGGTAATGCACAGCGCGCTGCTCGTAGCGGCACTACGGACGATGGTGGGGTGGAGAATGCTACGGCTTCGTCTAATCCTTCCGTGCCTCCTTTGCCCGTCGGGGGTGGTGGTGATGGCGAAGGCCCGGTCTCTACTTCTTCCGTGCCTACTTTCCCCGTAGGGGGTGGTGGTGATGTTGAAGGCATACCCTCTACTCCTTTCGTGCCTCCTTTGCCTGCGGGGGGTGGACTTCATGCAAGTGGCAGCATGTCATTGCCTACAGCACCACCGAGCACGATGAATGGCATGCCAGAGGACAGGTGAGCAGTTGATATAGTGCATATTTGGAATTCATGTTAAAACCTTATAAAATCATCTGGTCCCACCTAGGCTCCTTACACTTCCACGTCAACCATACGCTCATCATTTGTGTCCTTTTTCTATACCCCTCGTAAGGCCTGTTTGCAGCCATCCGCGCGCGAGCGCGCGCGGGACAGTCCCCAGGCATTGGCCTACATCACCAAGCGTTGATGATATCCCTGAGCAACGGGTATGTCTAGTCGAACCACGTACCGTTGTCGGGTTCTTCAAGGGGTGTCGCTTAGTGTGCTCGCATCAAGATACATGCGGAGGTGCTATGTCTCTCAGGTCGTGGAAGTTTTCTTGGGCTTCAGTTGGCATATTCTGGAGATGCGATAAGTGTTCCCATGGTGTGGAGTTCTGGTCGTGCACCAATCGAACCCTTGACAAGAAGAGAGTTGGGGTTGGTGCACGAGTGCCAATGCTACACTCAATATGTGGGAGCATTCGCGCTCGCTGGGATGGGGTATCAACAGATGTGGGAGTTCAGTCGCAATTTTTACATTCCATGTCCTGGCAAAAGCACGTTCTATTGATACCTTGGGGGCGATAATGGGTTATGGAAAACAATACTTAGGGAGGCGGATAAGTCGATGGCTTCGGTGCGGGAGGAGATGAGCAAACGTGACATCCCAGCCGAATACGTGACGGTGGATGGCCGATGGTCACATGTCCGAGAGGGTGAGTGGTGCACAGTGTCGTTCATGGACATACCGTCGCGGAAGATCTTGTACTGTGTAACAACACGTAAAGGGGTGGATGATAAATCGTCGGTGCGATTGGAGCGGGTGGCATTCGACAAAGGGGTTGATGAGTTGAAGCTGTTGGGGTTCGATGTGAAGGGCATCATTTCGGATCAAGGGACCACGTTTAGAGGCGCTGCGGCAGAGCGAAAGCTGGATCATCAGGTGGATTGGTGGCACGTGAAACGGACGCTGTACAATCTTTTCTGCAAGGAGCTTCAGGATCAGGTGCGGAAGCCTGTGGAGGTGGACAAGGCTAGCTGTATCGAGGATCTATGGTTGGCTAAGGTGGAAGACTTAAGGCAGTGGTTGAGGACCAAAGGATTGGAGAAAGAGGCGAAGGGGACACTCAAAGCATCACTTGTGGAGGCGGTATGTGGAGCCATGGGTACCATTGCATATGTGAAGATGACCCCTGATGAAGCGAAGTGGATGTTTCCTGAGTTGCGAAAATTCCGGCGGCTGGGAGGAGAACGGGCAGCGGTAGATGTCCCAGTGGGATATGGCGAGGTGCGTCCTGATACTACTGGAGAGATGCAGCCCATCGTGCGAGATGATGCGGTTGACGAGGCGGATGCGGGCACAACCCAAGTTGATGTGCAGTGGGCGGATGTGGAGGAGTTATGGCAATACGATATCCATCCTGTGCGTGGTGCGAGACCATCGTCATTGGCTAGTTCTCTCATCGTGCACGCATATGCGGGTGCATGCAGTAACTTACGATTCATCGGCGGGACGACTCCGTGGGCCAACGTTGATGAAGCTACTGGTATGAACGCTTTGTGAAACTTAGCTTCCATGCCATATTCAGATTGGAGTATGCCGCTTGTTTCTTAAAATTGTTCATACTGCTCGTTTTGACATGACAGAGACGATGACTGGCTGCAACAACGATGGTGTAGCGGGTGAGACCGACAATCAGGGAAGTGACGTCGGAGAGAATTTGCCCCGTTGGACTGGGCGGCGAAAACGGAAACGTGGCGGAGATGAGATAAACGCAGGCAATGAGGAGAGTACGGTGGCGCAGCGCTTCGCCTCGCATTTCTTCCATGTGATGAAGCGTTGCGCGGCGCTGTTGAAAGCGGGCACCCCTATGACCCCCGAAGATGTGGCTAGGGAAATTGGGACGGCACCTAACCACTGGGCAGGTGACCACTCCGAGTGTGGACGGAACGGGAGTTTTCTCCAAGGTGTGTTACCAAGAAGTGGGGCAGGGAATGTGCACTTTATGAGCCTGGATCGGAAACGCAAAAGGCGGTTCTTGCATGGTTCAAGAAACGGCTTTCGCCAGACAAGGTGAAACCCTATGTTCACGGAGCCAACAGTTCCATAAACGAGTCTTTCCATTCCCTGATCATCAAATACGCTGCTAAGCGTATCAGGTTCAAAGGTAGTCTTGAGGCACGAGTGGGGCTGGCTGTCCTGCATTGGAATAACTCGATGGACAGGCTGGTCACATCGTATCGCACTCGTGTACGGCAAGTAACTCGGGTGCGACGGGGCAACAAGGATCGAACCCTCGGACCTATGGATTGGTCTTGGGTTGATCGGATTATGGAGGATTGGCAACGATCGCTGGGATTTGGAGTCGACGATGAGATTATGGAGACGGCCCCGAAGAGGCAGGCGCAGCATCCTGTCGACTTACCTTGTGGAGGGCGACACCCATCTGTTGTTGGGCCGGTTACTCCTGTGCGAGAAGGTGGCATAGTCCGCGGCATTACTTCGACGCGCGGTGCTGGGCGCCGTATCTTATGTAAGATCTGTACCACATTCTCACCAACCCTTACTCTTGTCTTATGTAAGATATTTTGACGCTTCCCTCTTGCGATCATGTTGCAGGTGATGCCACCAACCATCCTCGGTAAACGTGTTGGAAGCACTTACAAATCCGGGGAAGGATCTAAATCACCAGTTTGTCCAACACGACGTGTCAATTTGGATGTTGGCGATGCCGGTGTGCGCCTTGAGGGTAATAGTGCTCATCCTTGTCCATACAACTGCTGCTCGCACCCATAACATGTGCATCTCTCGCTTTTCCCTCTCTATCTTCCTTTTCAGACCCGGTGTGCCCTCTCCCAGCCTTGCCCCCTGCTCCCATCCTATTCCCTTGCTTGCCCATCTCACGCCCTCGTGCTTCAACTCCCCAGTCTAGTCATTCTAAACCCTCCACCCCAGTCAATCATAGAGCATTATTTTCCCCTCACATTCCAACCTTGCTTTCTCAGCTCCTGGACGTGCATTTGGCGAAGACCACTGGTGTGGAGTTGGTGCCATACGAGTAGAGGGCCATGTTGGTGGCTCCGCGCCTGACCCCAGAGGAGGCCTTGGCGCCCTTTGATGTCAGCCGAGTCGTGGACCCCTCCGAGCACAACCTCAACCACCGACAGGTGCGAGTGCCATCAATCATCTGAATCAACGGCACATGTGACAGCGTAAGTCAATTGCAAACCAGTGATTTATCGTTTACCATCTGGAATCTTTTGTAAACCCTTCGTTCGTCTTTGCCTACTTAGCATGCATTGTGATACTACCCAATTATCCCCTTTGCAACAAAATTCAGGCTGGTCCTACTCCATCTGATTCCATGCCTTCGCGTTTCTTACCCTTGATGCATACTACAACCACTGATATATCTTTATGTGCTCGTTTCACTATCATGGCACCAATGTTGCCCATGCCTCACACCCCTCCCCACACATGCGTTCAACCAGCCGCATGGACGTTGTTTCAACATCTTTCAAGGTCAGCAGTGGCCCCTTATTGCTCCCAACGTGGTGCTCTCATTATGATTCGTCTCTATTTGCATTACTTTTCCATGCTTTGCTCCACAGTACTGCAGATCCATCGGGTGTCCGGAACATTTCTGCCGTTGTTGCGAATTTTCACGGCATACAAGACATTACCACCACACAAATGAGCCTACGTAGCCTAGAGATACTCCTCCTCCTACCTGCATGATTTTGGCAGCAACAGGTTGCACCTTTTGACAAAGCATAATTAGCACGCGTGTGTGTCAAGTGGCTCACGTCACAACAGCAGGCGTATGCATGTATAAAGGATTTTACATTGAATTTTGGAATCCAGATGTATTCGAATGAGCACTTGTCCACCATACATGTTTGCCTCAATGGTCCTGGCTTCAAGAATGGCACAACATAAGCTCTCCTGCAGTGAGAGTGGATGGTGATAAAATTGAGTGTCATCATATGGTGTACGAGCCAACAGGTGGTGTTGTAGGTGGACAACCCCCAGTCTCCATCCACATCAGTGCATTGTCCTCTGTTGAGCAAGGAGGTGCGGTGGCGATGAGAGGACAGGGGGATGAAAGGACAGAGGGATGAGAGGACAGGGGGATGAGAGGATGGGGGGATGATAGGACAGGGGGATGAGAGGATGGGGGGATGATAGGACAGGGGGATGAGAGGACGGGGGGATGAGAGGAGGGGGGGATGAGAGGACAGGGGGATGAGAGGACAGAGGGAGGTGAGGACAGGGGGATGAGAGGACAGGGGGATAGGAGGACGGGGGGAAGAGAAGACGGGGGGGTGAGAGGGTGGGGGGGTGAGAGGAAAGAGGGATGAGAGGACAGGGGGACGAGAGGACAGAGGGATGAAAGGACAGGAGGATAGGAGGACGGGGGGATGAGAGGAAAGAGGGATGAGAGGACAGGGGGATGAGAGGACGGGGGGGTGAGAGGAAAGAGGGATGAGAGGACAGGGGGATGAGAGGACGGGGGGATGAGAGGACAGGGGGATGAGAGGAGGGGGACGAGAGGACAGAGGGATGAGAGGACAGGGGGACGAGAGGAGAGGGATGAGAGGACAGGGGGATAGGAGGACGGGGGGATGAGAGGAAAGAGGGATGAGAGGACAGGGGATGAGAGGACGGGGGGATGAGAGGACGGGGGGATGAGGACAGTGGGATGAGAGGAAAGAGGGATGAGAGGACAGGGGGATAAGAGGACGGGGGGATGAGAAGACGGGGGGGTGAGAGGACGGGGGGGTGAGAGGAAAGAGGGATGAGAGGACAGGGGGACAAGAGGACAGAGGGATGAAAGGACAGGAGGATAGGAGGACGGGGGGATGAGAGGAAAGAGGGATGAGAGGACAGGGGGATGAGAGGACAGAGGGATGAGAGGAAAGAGGGATGAGAGGACAGGGGGATAAGAGGACGGGGGGATGAGAAGACGGGGGGGTGAGAGGACGGGGGGGTGAGAGGAAAGAGGGATGAGAGGACAGGGGGACGAGAGGACAGAGGGATGAAAGGACAGGAGGATAGGAGGACGGGGGGATGAGAGGAAAGAGGGATGAGAGGACAGGGGGATGAGAGGACAGAGGGATGAGAGGACAGGGGGATGAGAGGATGGGGGGATGATAGGACAGGGGGATGAGAGAATGGGGGGATGATAGGACAGGGGGATGAGAGGATGGGGGATGATAGGACAGTGGGATGAGAGGAAAAGGGGATGAGAGGACAGGGGGATAAGAGGACGGGGGGATGAGAAGACGGGGGGGTGAGAGGACGGGGGGGTGAGAGGAAAGAGGGATGAGAGGACAGGGGGACGAGAGGACAGAGGGATGAAAGGACAGGAGGATAGGAGGACGAGAGGGATGAGAGGAAAGGGGGATGAGAGGACAGGAGGATGAGAGGACGGGGGGATGAGAGGATGGGGGGACGAGAGGACAGGGGGATGAGAGGACAGAGGGATGGGAGGACAGGGGGATGAGAGGACAGAGGGATGGGAGGACAGGGGGATGAGAGGACAGGGGGATGAGAGGGCAGGGGGATGAGAGGACAGGGGGATGAGAGGACAGGGGGATGAGAGGACAGGGGGATGAGAGGATGGGGGGATGCGGCAGGCTCGGCGGCGGCAGCTGCAGCACCGGCAGCAGCTCCGGCAGTGGCGATGCTGGACACTACGTTCCGAACGGCTGCCGCCGTCACGAGGCGGGTCTGGACGGCAGAGAAGACGGCCAGCAGCAAGTGGACGAAGGCGGGCGGGGCAAGGGCACGGAGCTTGAGGGCGAGAGATGGCGCTGGGTGGGGGGTGCATGGGGAGGAGGGGGGCAGAAAGAGGGGACGGGGGGTTCAATTGGCGTAGGAGGGTGGAAGGACGGTGAGGGTTGACTGGATGTGTTATATGATAGATAGTTGGGGGAAGGCTGCACAGGTGGAAGACAGTGGGTGTGAGACCTCATTCGCATGAAAAGGAGACACAACTAATCAGCAGCAGGCTGATCTAACTTCCCCTCCCCTGTGACAACTGTAAGAAAACGACTCCACTGCTCCCTCACAGCTGCAGCATTTCTCATTGTTCAGGGCAAGGCTCGTCTCCTTCCCATCGTCATTGACAATTCAGAGAAAACATTCAGCCCCTTCCCCTTGTTCCATACCCCACGGCCCGTGTGTCTCACATTCAGCACATCAGCTGCAGGCTCGCTCCTCTTTGAGAGCTAGCAGTCCCCCTCGTTCCATCAACCACAGCCCACGTGTCTCACCGTTAAGTGCATCTGCTGCAGCCTCACCCCTCTCTCCTCCTGCACCACCCGCGGCCCCGCCAGCAGCGGCGGCGGCGTGCTGCAGGAAGAGCAGCGGCAGCAGCTCGCCCACCACTGTTTTCACTGCTGCTTTGATGTCCGCATTCACTGCGTCTCTGTCGGCCCGCAGCACTGCCGGCAGGCGCGACTGGGGCATGAAAGGGTGGGAGATGAAAGGGTGAGAGACGGATGGGGGTTAGGGGGAAGAGCAGCGGCAGCAGCTCGCCCACCACCGTCTTCACTGCTGCCTTGATGTCCGCATTCACTGCATCTCGATACGCGCGCAGCACTGCAGGCAGACGGGACTGGTGGGGGATGAAAGGGTGGGAGACAGTGGGTGAAGGGCCAGGGGGGAACAAGGTGATGGAAGGTCGTCCCAGGCGGCCTAAAGCTTCTTCTCGCTGCATCACAGCACACCCCAAACCTTAAACCTACCCCTTCTCCCCTAAACGCCAACTGTGCTCAGCAGGCTGATGAAGAGTGGAAGTAGGTGCTCTCAGGGTCAAGCCTCCCTCTCGCTCATCCGTTCACTCTGCATGCCCGCTTTTTATGAGAGCCAGTGCCTTAACCCCTAACCCCCAAACTCTAAGTAATACACTCGAACCCCTGACCCCTGCCCCGTACTCACTGTGCGCAGCAGGCTGATGACGAGCGGCAGCAGATGCTCTCTCAGGCGAGCCTCTCTCTCCTCCATGCCCTCGCGCTGCTTGAGCCCAGCATGGGCAGAGCACGGATGTTGCATGGACGGATGGGGCATGGATGGGGCATGGATGGGGCATGGATGGGGCATGGATGGGGCATGGATGGGGCATGGATGGGGCATGGATGGGGCATGGATGAGGCATGGATGGGGCTTGGATGTTGCATGGATGTTGCATTGATGGGGAATGGATGTTGCATGGATGGGGCATGGATGGGGCATGGATGGGGCATGGATGGGGCATGGATGGGGCATGGATGGGGCATGAGTTGGGCATGCAACGGGTTGGGATCCATGCATGCACCAGGGATGCACGTGGCGGGCGAGGCATGCGACAGACATGCATGGGGCGAGACAAGGCATGGATGGAGCAGACAAAAAAACACGGAGCGAGAAACGGAGCAAGATACAAAACTGAGGCAGGCAGGAGGCATGGCAGGGAGCACAGGAGGATGAGGAACAAGAAGCAATCACAGACCTGTGTGGCCAGCCAGCTACTGACTGCGACGTCTCACACCTCAACTGCTATGACACAACACAACCACAGGTAGGCCCGGGCGACTGGCTCTGAAGCTCTGAAGCGCGCCATGCCAGTACAGCGCTGAATCTTGTGCGACAGGGATCACGCTTTGCATCCATAGGCACGCACCTCGAGGTTGACTATAGCGAGCAGCGTTTCAGCGGGGGGTACGCTCTTCTGGAGGTTGAAGCTGGTGACTATAGCGGAAGGCGCCACGTCAGCAGCATCGTGCACGGCTTCCCTCACAAAGTCGGCTGTTAGGAGACTGGGAGAATGGCGGGAATGGGTTGGGTTGGAGAGTATAGGGGATGGATGTTAGAAAATTGGAGGAGGAGAGGAGGAGGTGGTTGAGGTGGCGGAAGCAGTGCAGCCCCGCCATGGGGGGGGAGAGTGGGGCGAGATACGAGTGGGGGGGAGGAGTGGGAAGAGAGAGAGAGACCGACCGACCTGTAGACGGCATCGGAGGAGGTGAGGAGGAGGTGGTTGAGGTGGCGGAAGCAGTGCAGAGAGGGATATGAGGGTGGGTGGAAGAGGGGGATGTGAGAGTGGGAGGCGAGAATGGGAGGAGTGGGAGAAAGAGGGACTCACCTGTTGACGGCATCGGAGGAGGACACCAGGAGGTGGTTGAGGTGGCGGAAGCAGTGCTGCCCTGCGAGCTCCTGCCCATCCATGAGGCGCCTTAAGTCGTCCATCACGTCTAGCGTGCCCGCACAGTCGCCCGATGACACCAGCTGATGGACGGTAGGGTGGTGCGTGGGGGGCAGGAAGGAGTTAGAGGGCAGGGTTGCACCCATGAGCTCCTGCCTCTCCATGAGGCACCTCAGGTCGTCCATCACGTCTATTGCGCCCGCACAGTCGCCCGACGACACCAGCTGATGCATGGTGGGGTGGTGCGTGTGGGGCAGGAAAGAAGAGTTAGAGGGCGGGGTTGCACCCATCAGCTCCTGGCCGTCCATGAGGCGCCTGAGGTCGTCCATCACGTCTAGCGCACCCGCACAGTCCCCCGATGACACCAGCCGAGGCATCGGCACGCACAGTGGGGGTGGTGGGGTGTGGGGCAGCAAGGGAGGCTTAGAGGTCAGGAAGCGAGCAGCACAAGGCAGCAGCATAAGGTATCATCACGAGCCAGCACCAAATGAGGCAGCACCACGAGCACCCAGTGAGATCAGTGCCTTCCATGAGGCGTCTGAGGCTGTCCGCCACAGCCAACGCGCCCACAAGGTCGCTCCATGACACCACCTCATGAGATGGGATGGCTCCTTACCGCATTGTGCCTTACCAGCTTCAGCGTCGCCATGGCCTGGTGCACGAACGCCACCAGCTACAGTCCTGCAAGACGGCCGGGAACCTAATTCTCTTCTCTCTAGCCGTCATAAAATTGTGTCTTACCAGCTTCAGCGTCGCCATGGCCTGGTGCACGAACGCCACTAGCTTCAGCTTCTGATGCGGCTGCAGCAGATTCTCCCGCCGAACCTTGGTCGCCTGCAGCTTCCGTGATCCTTCCAGAAGGTCCTCGTCCAGCATCCCCATTGTGCCGCGCAACTGACGGATGCGATCGCACGTCTCCACGATCCCACGGTTCAGATCTTCCAGTTTTTTCAGGGCTTCGAAGAACGAGTCGAAGCGGGAAGAGATTTCTTTAACTAAGTGCGCCTCGACTAGGTCTAAGTAATGCGATAGTTTCTCCTGTAGAAGCATATTCACGGCAATGGAGGGAGACGGGCAGACCGTATCAAAAATCTCCTTCCGCTCAAGAGCAGAATGCTCGTCGAAATACACCGGGGGTATTCCTCTGAGACACGCTGCTAGACCCTGACCTTCTGACCGTGATGCTAAAATACCCTTCCCTTTCCGTTCCTCTCTCCCCTCGCTGTCCACGTCAGCACCGGGTGCCTCCCCAGTGACCAACTCCCACGTGGAATGCTCCTGAACGTCAACGAATCGCCCATACGGTTCCCTCATCCGCTCCAATTACGGCTGAAATTCCGACATCGGAAAATCCTAAATTTCCGGCGGCAAAGGCGGAGGACCCTCTAGAACCGGCTACAGCGGCCGCTACGCGGTAATCCATGTGCGTAGGGTACGGAGAAGGCGATAGGGCCGAATGTGATGATTGCGTGAGGGCGATACGAGGGCGACCGTGATAGGAGACGCGCGTAACTGTTGCGTTGCTGTCATACCGATAAGCTACGACTAGAAAATATATCGGAGTGTGTCTATTTTAGGAGAGATTGACGGCGGAGGCGGAAGGCTGGGGATACTGTCGCGACGCGCGAGTGTGTGCTTCTTTCTACGTCTGAGAATACTTGTCGCTGCAACGAGACTAGGAGAGAACGTGGCGGTTGCGTAAGAGGAACCATAGTGGCCGCGGTTAGGTTGCTTGCCAAGTCGCCAAAGGGCCCTGATTCGTGTCTTTGAACTGAGCGCTTAGACTGACGATTGCCCGTATGTGACGGGAGGACGACTACTACGTGCCTCATAATATGCGTGTCCAAGCGTTCCTTCAGGTTTACTCAAGGTGAACAGTGCAATCCTCTGAGGCGTTTTCCCTGCTGGTTGTTTTAGGTTATCGCTGGCCAATCACGGATCACCTCTGCTGCTTGAAACCGACGGATTGTTCTGAACCAGCTGGTAACATGGTTATTCACGAAATCAACTTCAAGAATCTTGAATATGAAAAATACCATGTGAAACTTGGGCTTTAAACTCGGTTTTGGGCCAAACCCTTTTCCGCGAAGTTCCCCCCGCCGTCGCAGTCTGTGCTTTGCCTCTCCACAATTCCCGTCTCGACTTGCCACCCACATTCAACCTTTCTCGCTGCTCGTTCGCAAATATGATGTTTCGCGATGAGAAATCGATCGCGAGCGGATACCGGACTCGCTGACAGGATCAGCGTTTCGCGCGATGCACTGTCGCACAGTGACTTTGCCCCGTGCCGCTCATGGACAGAGTGAATGCTTGCGATTTGCACTCTAACGCACATTCGTTACAAGGAGCGACGGGACGACAATGTAGGTGGCGAATGTTAGCGACGGGAAACGAAACCCGTTTTGTTACCTCACACAAATTTGTGTGCGGGTGGGGGTTATTGCTGCAACGCAAGCTGTTGGATCTATGACTTCCTAATCGAACGGTTCAAGATCGAGGTCTCTGCTATTCGATAGGCAACACGCTAAAATGAGTCCTCTCAAAATATGCGCTGACAAAACCATAACCTTTTCAGCTCCTCAGCCACGAATATCGAATTTCCTCTATCGCAGCACTTGTGTCGCACAACTTCGTTGGGGTTCGCGAAAGCAGCAGAACATGGAAGAGAGAGACAGACGCGTCACAAGGGACGTGGAACCCATATCGCTCGCCCATTGGGCGACTCCAAACCATCAAAACTCGCTTGACTCAATAATAATTCACAGCCTAAGAATGAGCGCGCCACCGGCGATTGCGGTGGTAACAAAGGAGCTGCGCCGCTCACAAGGAGCGGCGCTATCCAATCAGACGCACCGAGTCATTCGCGGTGGGGACGTCTGCGATCGGGCAAATGCACGCCAGGCCTGTAACACCCATCCCATCCGCCCCAATCGCGGCGACTCCGTTCGAACGCGATCGCGGTGTCCCTCACATCACGTCTCATTCTCTGTTCTAGTATTTCTCGCTCCCTTTTCTGGCGAGTCTGTTATCCCTCGAGGTGATTCCCGCTCGCCACATAATAAATTCGCCACCTTCCCCACGCTTCACCATCTCTCGAAATTTCGCGTCTAAAGCTTCTCGCTTCTCTAGACGCTCTGTGCCTGCCGCACTGTGCTCGCTTGCTCGCGTCTCACCACCCCTTTCATCCCGCGCCATCGCCGCCGCCTTTCCATTGGCTCGTAAGCACTCTACAACTGTGAGCGCCTCACCAACCGCCGTCGCTACCGCCAGCGCGGGCGTCACAAACGCGTCACGCGCGAGCTTCGCCCGTCGAGCGTTACACTTTCCGTTTCAATCGCCGTCGTCCGCCGCCCATCTCCGTCGCCGTCATGCAGCGCCGCTGCCGCCATCGCGGCGGCCTGTCCGCCGCCCTTCGCCTCGCCGCCGCCCTCGCGCTCGCCGCAGCCCTGTTCGCTGCAACCAGCGGCGCCGCGAAGCTTTCCATTACGGACGCTTGGCTCGAGTACTATTGTACGCGTGCTCCTTTCTCAGAATTTTTCTTCGACTGGACTCTGTGCGTCGACCGTGGCGACGCATATGCGGATGCGGATCTGTACGTGCAGTGGAACCTCGAGCAAGGCACCGGCCTTCCAGTGTGCCGCACGCTCGCCTTTTACTCGCAGCGCGGCTGCGGCGGCACCCCCTACCGCACGTTCTTTCGCCCCGATATCAGATCGGGCCCCCAGAAGTCCCGATGGTGAGGCCCGACGTGACGTTGCACCGATGTGACGTTGCACCAACGTGACGGTGATTTGAAGTTCAAATGAAGTTCCTCCCACTGCAAGGAAAATATTTCCTTCCTTTTTTTTTCCTACAGGCACCTACACGTCACCCCTTTCCTTTGCGCTTTCCCGCACTTTTACTTGCTACCGCTCTCACTCCTCCTCTCGCCCCCCCTGAACCCTCCCTCTCTTTGTCGCCAGGCCTGGCATCCCTGCCGCGCAGCTGCCGGCATCAGTCAAGTGCGAGTTGGGTGAGTGGACACCCCCTTGCCTTGCATGCATCATTCGGACGCCCCTTGCATGCATCATGCTGACGCCAATATTACTACTACTAGCGCTCACGATGCGTCCTTGTCTACCTGGGCGTCACCCACTCTCCGCATGTATACAAAAGCATGACTAATACCTATCGGCTCGTTCTGGCTATTGTGAGTATTGTGAATACTCGATTCTTGCCTAGTTACTGTCGAGTTTTTTCCTCATTCAGGGCGACTGTTGTTTCTACGCGACCTGAGGCGAGCAGTACTCGACTACTATGCCACCCTGCCCGCCCGCCACTCTTCTCTTTCACGTCACATCCCGGAAAAGGAAAGTGCCAAAAAAAACTTAAAAGTGGCGCTTTCATAACTTTCCAGTTGCATTTTCCGCGCAAGAAAAAAGTTTGACTCAGCAACAGTGGTAGCGTCAGTAACTACAACCGTCACCTTCCCGTCACTTTCTGGCAACAACGTGTGCAGATTCCCGCATCCGCCACGCAAGTGTACAGGCAACTTCACAACTGGAATACAGTAACCACACACGTTACTCGGATGGTCACCATAACGTTGCATCGCAACCACCCACTTCAATAATAATTCACAGCCTAAGAATGAGCGCGCCACCGGCGATTGCGGTGGTAACAAAAGAGCTGCGCCGCTCGCAAGGAGCGGCGCTATCCAATCAGACGCACCGAGTCATTCGCGGTGGGGATGTCTGCGATCGGGCGAATGCACGCCAGGCCTGTAACACCCATCCCATCCGCCCCAATCGCGGCGACTCCGTTCGAACGCGATCGCGGTGTCCCTCACATCACGTCTCATTCTCTGTTCTAGTATTTCTCGCTCCCTTTTCTGGCGAGTCTGTTATCCCTCGAGGTGATTCCCGCTCGCCACATAATAAATTCGCCACCTTCCCCACGCTTCACCATCTCTCGAAATTTCGCGTCTAAAGCTTCTCGCTTCTCTAGACGCTCTGTGCCTGCCGCACCGTGCTCGCTTGCTCGCGTCTCACCACCCCTTTCATCCCGCGCCATCGCCGCCGCCTTTCCATTGGCTCGTAAGCACTCTACAACTGTGAGCGCCTCACCAACCGCCGTCGCTACCGCCAGCGCGGGCGTCACAAACGCGTCACGCGCGAGCTTCGCCCGTCGAGCGTTACACTTTCCGTTTCAATCGCCGTCGTCCGCCGCCCATCTCCGTCGCCGTCATGCAGCGCCGCTGCCGCCATCGCGGCGGCCTGTCCGCCGCCCTCGCGCTCGCCGCAGCCCTGTTCGCTGCAACCAGCGGCGCCGCGAAGCTTTCCATTACGGACGCTTGGCTCGAGTACTATTATACGCGTGCTCCTTTCTCAGAATTTTTCTTCGACTGGACTCTGTGCGTCGACCGGGGCGACGCATATGCGGATGCGGATCTGTACGTGCAGTGGAACCTCGAGCAAGGCACCGGCCTTCCAGTGTGCCGCACGCTCGCCTTTTACTCGCAGCGCGGCTGCGGCGGCACCCCCTACCGCACGTTCTTTCGCCCCGATATCAGATCGGGCCCCCAGAAGTCCCGATGGTGAGGCCCGACGTGACGTTGCACCGACGTGACGTTGCACCAACGTGACGGTGATTTGAAGTTCAAATGAAGTTCCTCCCACTGCAAGGAAAATATTTCCTTCGTTTTTTTTTCCTACAGGCACCTACACGTCACCCCTTTCCTTTGCGCTTTCCCGCACTTTTACTTGCTACCGCTCTCACTCCTCCTCTCGCCCCCCCTGAACCCTCCCTCTCTTTGTCGCCAGGCCTGGCATCCCTGCCGCGCAGCTGCCGGCATCAGTCAAGTGCGAGTTGGGTGAGTGGACACCCCCTTGCCTTGCATGCATCATTCGGACGCCCCTTGCATGCATCATGCTGACGCCAATATTACTACTACTAGCGCTCACGATGCGTCCTTGTCTACCTGGGCGTCACCCACTCTCCGCATGTATACAAAAGCATGACTAATACCTATCGGCTCGTTCTGGCTATTGTGAGTATTGTGAATACTCGAT